AATTGATAATCGGAATTTCGGAACTACCCAGGTTTACCGATCCAAGACACGAAGAGTATGCTTGTTTGTTTTTTTTTCCTAGAAAGGTTAATGTGGTCGCTCATACATTAACAAAGGAAGTACTCAAATTCTCTGAGGAGAGAATAGTGTTGGAGGAAACTCCTTCTTGTATCTGAAACTTGCTATCTTGAAAATGAATGAAATGTTTTCCCTCTTCAAAAAAAAATAAATAAATAAATAAATAAATAAATAATAATAATAATAATAATAAGTAATTGCACTTATTTATTCTTCTAGAATAATTTTACTTTGGATGCATTTCTCCAAGAACAACAATACTTGTTTACGATATTAGTATTCGTGAAATTGGATTTCCTTTGAAATATTAATATGTATAAAGTTGATTTTCAAAAACAAAACAAAATTATTTTAAAATATAGATACGTAATAATTTATGGTACTTCGAAAGCAATAATAACTTAATCTTGTAAAGTATTAATTCAAGTAAAATTATGATTTTTGAGAGAGAGAGATAGAGAGATAACAATGTACTTTTGAATATTGGCATGAGAAGTGCTACACAAACAGGGATTATTGACAGGGTTTAGTGACCAACACAGTTGGCGTTCGATCATTGGGGAGATGGAAATGTTTTTCAAACAACAGGCCAATCAAAAATCGCCACGTCATCTATGTCACCAATTCCTGTTAATATTCCCTGTCGGAGTAGCTTAATACATATTGGCATACATAAACTTGTACTTCTTCAAGAGCTACAAAACTTTATTTTAGAAGCAATGTAGCATTATTCTTGTGGGATATTGATCTGTTTAAATTTGTGATTATTCAAGAATAATAAAATAATATTCTTCTAAGATATTGCTATACATAACATTGTGGTTTCTTTCAAACTAGAAATGATATTTTCAAGATTATTGATTATGAATTAATACATCTTTATTAGTAATAATACAATATTCTTCAGGAACATTTTTTTTTTTCAAGCAAATGTATGTTCATCACTATTAGATATAATCAAAACGATATAACAAAATTGAATTACATATATCGGCTTGTTGTCATGTAAATAAAATTAAGAGAATACTCACAATTTCTTTTGAACGGGGAAGAATAGTTGAATGCTAACGCAATTGGCTAGAATTTCATATTTATCCTTGAACATAAAGTGGAATCACTTTTTCAAACTGAGTTGGTGATACTTCATACCCATAACGTGTTATAAAACTAAGAGAATATATAGGAGGATTAGAATGAGCCAAAACTCTTTATGTATTTATTAAAAATCAAAGTCTCATATTTGCAGTATATAATTAGGGTTATAGGGATATAATTCACATTCACAAATAGTGTTTCATTTGTAGCAATATTTAATTTTGTTTGTTTGTAACAAAATAAAAATAAATAAATAAATAAATAAAAGAGTAAAAAGAGAGCCAGACTGGTCGATTGGGCTCTATGGCCTCTGCATCAAGAGATATTGGGCCTGCTCTGTGTGCATCACGGACAGCCCTAAGTGGGCCCAACACGGCCAATTCAATTCATCGTCACATTTCCGTAACTGGATTATACCCTTCAACACTCCCTCTTCACTTTTCGTCTTCTTCTCGGAAATTGAATTATTTCATTCTTTGCGGTGTGAGCTTCATAATCGAGTCGAATTGATTCCAATCAAATCAATAGTCTCGTATCTCTTTGGATTCGAAATTGTATTTTCAACTTTTTAAATACTAGATTTCGCACCCAAATTCCACTATTTCCTCCCTCCTGCAAATCCCCGCACAAAAAATTGAGGCCATTTATAATTTATTATCCCAGACCGCCCAGAGGTACATTATTTTAGCACAAGATTCAACTTTTTTTCATGGTACAATCTTTTCGATGAGTTGTATGTGTTTGGGGTTTTAGGGTTTTTTAAAATTATTATTTTGGGTTTGGTTTTGGATTTTCTTCAAGAAATTAGTTTAATTTTTTTCTTGATTTTGTTTAAATCTACTTTTTTACTTTCAACGTGAATGTTGTACTCTGTGTCTGTATGTGTATTGTGGTTGTATTGGGTTCTAAATAGTTGGGATTTTGGATTCCCATTTCGTTGACATTTTAAATAATTTGCAGTAACTTGTAGGGGGGCTATTATATTTGGAATTATATTTCAGTCTGCTTTTTAATGTATGCTACTCTTTCGTTCTTTCTTTTAAGACCGTGTAATGGTTTTTAGTCAATTATATTCTTCCAAAATTATGCACCATGAAGAGTGGATATTATGCAAAGACTTTGGGATTGATAGCTATTTGGAAAAAAGAATATATCTTTTTTTTCCCCTCTTACGAGATATTTGTGGAACTCCTTTTTCTCGAAAGGTTTCATCCATTTTGATTTGCACCTAAACTTGGCCCCCAATTTGTGATTTGAAAGTTAACCTCAGAAGTCTGCAGTGTCGATGAATATTAAGTGCATGTTTGGTATGCAATGCTCGATGGACTAGACAGAATAATAAACAATATGTTGGCTTATTTTTCTTCACTAATAGTGTCCAATTCTATCAAGTCCTCCCAAACAAACATGCTATAAGAGTTTAGATTCATAAGCACCAAGTTTATTGGTAACTATGGTGTCCAATAATTCTGATTGTGGCATGCTTCACTATTTGAGATTGTGATATGTACGTTTTCTTTTTGTTTGATGAGAATCAATCGTGTACTTGTGTTTGTTTTGTTGAACAGTGATTTAAACCATGGTTGCAAAGAAAGTTATAGCTATTTGTCAGTCGGGCGGTGAATTCGAGACAGATACAGATGGTGTACTTTCTTACAAAGGTGGTGATGCTCATGCTATGGAAATTGATGGTCAAATGAAGTTTAAAGATTTCAAGTTGGAGGTAGCAGAGATGTTCAACTGTAATCTCAGTACTATGTCCATCAAATATTTTCTTCCGGCAAACAGGAAAACACCTATCTCCATCACTAATGACAAAGACCTCAAGCGCATGATTAAATTCTATGGTAACTCTGACACCGCGGAGATATACATTATGAATGAAGAAATTGTTGCTCCTGATGTCTCCAACATGCCTGGTAGTAGGTAGTTCTCCTGCTATGTAGTAGTAAAAAATTGTTTTCTTCTGTGGATGATGCATTTAGGGACATTTTAACTTGCAGGTCGAGTAGGACAACTTTGTCAGAAGCCCCTCCTGCTGATGCTTCCCCAGATATGATTGTAGATGATATAAACGAGCCTGGACTGCCACTTGATCCGACTTTTGATGTGGTTGTCGATACTAGCCATGTTGAGGCTCATTTTGACGTACCAACTGAAAGACCTGTTCGTACTAGAATGCCTGTACCAATTTCTTTTGTTGGTTATGATGAAAAAGATGCTAAAGCTGCTGAGCAGTGGCTGAACATTATTACTGGTGTGGGACAAAGGTTCAATAGTGTAAATGAGTTTCGCGAGGCACTGCGTAAATATGCCCTGGCGCATCAGTTCACTTTCAAGTACAAGAAAAATGATAGTCACCGCGTATCTGTAAAATGTAAGGCCGATGGTTGTCCATGGAGAATTTATGCGTCAAGGTTGGTGACAACCCAGCTGATTTGTATTAAGAAAATGAATCCAACACACACTTGCGAAGGGTCTGCACTGACAACTGGCATTCAGGCAACAAGAAGTTGGGTTGCTAGCATTGTGAAGGAGAAGTTGAAAGTTTTTCCAAACTATAAGCCCAAAGACATTGTTAAAGACATCAAAGAGGAATATGGGATACAGTTAAATTATTTTCAGGCATGGCGTGGAAAAGAAATTGCCAAGGAGCAGCTCCAGGGTTCTTACAAAGAGGCATATAGTAAATTACCACTTTTCTGTGAGAAAATAATGGAAACAAATCCCGGAAGTTTAGCGACTTTCACCACTAAAGAAGACTCAAGCTTCCATCGCCTCTTTGTGTCTTTCCATGCTTCACTATATGGCTTCGAGCAAGGCTGCCGTCCTTTGCTTTTTCTAGATGGTATATTTTTGAAGTCCAAATACCAGGGCACACTTTTGGTAGCAACAGCTGCAGATGGGAATGATGGCGTTTTTCCTGTTGCTTTCGCTGTTGTAGATACTGAATCTGATGAAAACTGGCATTGGTTCTTACTACAACTCAAAACTGCTCTGTCAGTGTGTCGTGGGATAACTTTTGTGGCAGATAGAGAGAAGGGGCTAAAAGAATCAATTGCTGAAATTTTTCAGAATGATGATGTTTACCATAGCTTCTGTCTGACCCATCTCTCTGAGCAATTTATGAGAGATTTGAAGGGTCAGTTTTCTCATGAAGTGAAGCGTCTTATGGTTGAAGATTTTTATGGTGCTGCTCATGCCCTTACGCCTGAAGGCTTCCAAAGGTGTGTGGAAAGCATCAAAAATATTTCGATAGAAGCATACAATTGGATCGTGCAAAGTGAGCCTGTTAATTGGGCAAATGCATTCTTCCGAGGTGCGAGATATAACCACATGACATCAAACTTTGGAGAACTTATCCAGAGTTGGTTATCAGATGCACATGAATTGCCAATAATCCAGATGGTTGATGCCATCCGAGGTAAGATTATGGAATTGATTTATACCCGGCAGACAGAATCTAACCACTGGCAGACAAGATTAACTCCATCAATGGAGGAAAAACTCGAAAAAGAAAACATTAAAGTCAGAACCCTTCAGGTATTAATATCAGCGGGTAACAGATTTGAGGTTCGTGGGGATACCATTGAAACTGTTGATGTGGATAACTGTTTTTGTAGTTGCAAGGATTGGCAGCTTACTGGATTGCCCTGCTGCCATGCAATTGCTGTCATTAGTTGTCTTAACCGGGATCCCTATGATTATTGTTCTAGATACTTCACAACTAATAATTATAGAGTAACATATTCACAGTCAATACATCCTGTTTCAAATATAGATGGGCCCTGGCCGAAGGGCTCTTCTCAGTTGGCAGTGGCTGTAACCCCTCCTCCAACTCGTCGTCCACCAGGCCGGCCTACTACTAAGAAAATTGGCTCACAGGATGCAGCGAAACGTCAACTTCAATGTAGTAGATGCAAGGGTAGTGGGCACAACAAATCTAGCTGTAAAGAGTTTTTGCTGGAATGATTAACTATGTGAGTATACTTTTTTGGCAGCATTGTTTACATTTATCAATTTAACATCCTTTCAACATACAAGATGACTTCCATTCATTAGCACACTCACTGTATTGGCCAGATTATAAAAAGAAAGAAAAAAAACTGTGCATCTATACTTCCATTACTGTTGTTACATAATGTTAACACATGCATGATCTATGTAGATCTTCCGTCATTGCTTTCTTGGAAACTTCTTGCTCCTATGCTAATTTAGATATTTCGGCTAGCATTAGTCTGTCTGATAGAATTACATTTGGCATGTTGATTAGTCTGCCTATCATTTCAATACGTTACATGCTTATATGCTTATCTAGATTACATTTTTCATAAACCATTGCCATTTGCACTATTAACCAACAATATTAGTGATGAATTTTATGTTTTTTCAAATACCATTTGTCTGTAGTGCGTAACCTGCCATATTTTTATTTACGTTCACTGTCAAGTGGGTCTGACTGAGGCTTTCTCCCTATCCTATGAAGCACAAGCACTCCTAGACACTCTTAAGACATATGTCCGACAAGCCTCATGCCATGACCTACTCTTTAAATTTTTGACACCTAAGGGACATTTTAGGGACACCTATCAGTCAAGTATCAGACATGCCATGTGTCGACCTATATTAAAAAGTATAAAAAATAAAAAAATCATATATCATGTTCGACTTTTTTTGAAAATTTATGTCGGTGTGGGTCCATGTATGTGCTTCTTAGACCAATGAGTTTATGTTCATTATCCCGTTTTAGCAAACAGAGGAGTATCTTAATGCAACATAGTTCCTTCGACTGCCAGAAGCTTTCTTGATTTATTATTTATCCTCTACATTTTTCGTTTCATCATAAGTCGAGGGGCTATCATAATGCATATACTCGTCTATGCGAAACTTATCGCTTTCAAAGGGTGAGAAAAGAGGGTGAGATCTTTATTTCTAAGTAAATAAATAAAGGGACCATACATCATATTCCTTGTTCCCATGTTATTAAAAAACCTAATTAAAATCTTCCTCGGAGTGAGGCGTGCAAAAAATGTCTTTGAGGTAGGTAAAAAACACATCAAGGCTTTGATCATGGGGCAGATTATTGAAGCGTATGGTACAATGAAGCACCTACACGCTTTCGTCACTTGTCAAATACACCATGTATTGTGTCCACTGTTTCCCTGATTTTTTGCCACCCAACACATCGGGGATACGGCTCTAACAGCTCGTGATTACTTGTAGATAATTGGGAAAGGAAGAAACTTACCTAGTTTATTATCATCTTCCTTTCTCGATAGCAAAATCGCAAGCCTCCGATATCGCTGTCGTCCATGAGCATCGGCGGTGTTTAGCTCTTTTGATTTTATCATTTCGAACGGCAATAAGGGCAAAAGAAACCCAAGTCGAAGAATCAAATCGAGGTCTTTATTTCTAATCAAAAGTAACGCGCTTTTTCTCTCTTATTAAATATGTGCTTAATTAGGGGAAACCTTAGTTGACTTGCCTTTATTAAGAAGCCAAGCAACATATTAAGTAGAGTGGCGACTTTTCTATTTTTAGAAGACGGACACTTTATTAAATATCAATCAACTGGGATGGAAAAAACTGATTTAGCCTTTTTTCTTGAAAGATTGTAACTTTCCTTTATACCAAATAAAAGATTAATCCTTGTTTGTGGGGATTGAAATCAGATTTTTAGTAGATTTTGATAAAAATTAATAAAATATGTGGTTGAAAGGTTGTGGATCCCATGAAATGTGATTAAAATTAATTGATGGTTTTGATTTAGATTAAAATCTAAATTTTAATCCCTAGCAAACAGGAGCTAAAAAATTACCTTAAAAGTTGGGCACCTAACTTTTAGAATATTAATTTATTAGTTGCTTAAACTGTATAAATAGAAAAATGTTATGAAAATTAAAAAATAATTAATATTATTTGGTAGTTTTTCGAAATATAGCATGAAGGCGGTCCATGCTTCATAGGCGTTCACATCATTTGTGTAAGGCACACTCAAAGCATGGCCTCAAGGCTTGTGGCCCACAAAACATAATATTCTTATTGACCATTTTTGAGAATAGTCCATGCACTAAAAAATTAAGAAATTATGTCCTTGTTTGAGCCCCATTTTTTGAAAAAAAAATATGCATTCTTGTTACACGCAAATCTAAAATTTTTTAACCACATACTTCCCATCAATGCACTATTCAATTTTTTTTTTTTGTTGACCAAAATGGGGCTCAAACAAGCCCTATGTTTCTCAAAGATTCGCTTCGAGAATAGTCTACAATCCCCATTAACTAATAATAGTTTCTTTATAGATTTTTGTTTTGTTGTTTTCACTTTTTAAATTGTTATATTATGAATTTTGAAGATTGTTTATGATGTATTATAAGCTTATTTTTCATTTTAATAAATTTGTTACCTTTTTTGGTTTACTGTAATGCTTCTGCCCGAAAACGCCTCATTACCCAATTATGCCTTTTTGAACATTGCTTATTTACCCCAACAAAATAGAGCATGTTTGGTTGTGCTTAGAAGTTACTTTTTGGAGAGCATTTACTTTCTAGAAACACCAGTTTTGTTAGTAAAAAATTTAACTTTGAAAATCATGTTTAGAAAAACAAGTAACCCAAAAGTAAACTTACTTTTAGGCACAGCCAGCCATGCTCTAAGTTGCAGCTTTGAGGCTAGCTCCAGGTCATAAGTCCATCTATGATACCATCTCCTTGCCTTGGGCTGAATTGACTTAGCCCTTGGGACGGGGTGAGAAGGCTTCTCCTTCATGTTCAGATTGGTGAAAAACGTAGGTGGTTGCATCCGCAAAGAAAAGGAATTAGACGACTTCTTTTTTTGACTTCATCTCAAACTTCAAATCTCAAATTGCACAAAGAAAGTCTCCAGCTAGAGCATGTGATGCTTAACTTATATCTAATTATGACCTTTTGACAGATAGAGACATTGAACATCTTTGCTGGCTTAGTTTTTTCGCACTTTTTATTTTTTTTTTAACTTTACCACAAAAGATCAGGACTTCTTAGCGTAGATCGTAGACCTTGATACCCTACATGACTAATATATTACTGTAGCCTGGCCATATTTACTACATAGCTGCAATCCCTTTTTTGCCAATATCTATATCTATACCTAAGTAAGAAATTTGAGTTCTAAAAAAAATGTGAATAACACGTGAAGGGATAATAGAGAATGGCCTTGAAATAAATTTAGCATGGATAACATTATATTGAGATCTTAGACCAAAATGGCTTGATATAACTTCAGTCTTCTTGAATGCTCCACGCAGCTCGGAGCATGTTTGCATTTTGACAGCAATCTTGGGATGGGGGTCTAGTTTGTCACAGGTTTTGGTGTTTGCCATTAGATTAGCTAAAGATATCGTTTTACATTCACTTCAATCTAACAATGCATACATAAGGGCTAGCTGGATTTTGATAAGCTTTTATTATATTTTTATTTAATGGTATGCTGCTGTTTAACAATTTAGTCTGTTTCCTCTTTTGTCCTCAGGATTGCTTGAATGGTGAATCCACATTGTTCGACCGGCCATATTTTGTGATGTGTTTAATTGAAGTCTCACCCTTGTTTATCATTCCTTTTATCACTTATCTGACTTCAGGTTCTTCATAGTTAAAATGATGTTGATAATGGAAGAAGTCGTTAAATGGATGACAGAATGCTATTTGACAACAGCATCTTTTCAGACATGTTCTTTAGTTCTTAGAAAGCTGATGGTATGTACATACTAAGGAACCTCTTTTGCTACTTTCTTGCGTGTATGATGTAGAATTTTGCAATAACGTGCATGTGATCATTTTGTTGGTGGCTAATTTTGCCTTCAGCTTTTGGATTATTCCGCACTAGGACGCATGTGATCTTTTAGGTTGTATTGAAGAAGAAAACGAAGCTAAAATTTAGTCCACTACTGTGTACCAAAACTGCCCGCCTCCATTATCATGTATTTCTTCTTGTATCCTATGTCATTATGTGTTCTCGATTTTCCAAATGTGAGGTAGTTTGGACTTATTTGCTGGTTGCTCTCGACTTGAGCTAAATAATAATTTGCTTGGATTGGTAATTGAAAGCTGGCTCTTGGTCACTTTTGGTCAATTGACACGATGCCCTTGATGGGGAGGAAAGCAAAATCGAGTCCGAAACTTTAGGTGCAAAATGGCATTTCTAATTTGACCAAATTGGCGGTCGAACTGACTGGCGGTAAAAAACCGACTCGAGTCGGGTTGGACGGTTTTGCAGTTAATTGTTGAGGTGCAAATGTGCATTCGAAGTTTTGTATGTATATGAAAATAAAGAAGAACGAGAAGATTACCGAGTTCACGAATTGAGGGCGAATTTAGAAAGTTCTTTTTTTTAAACAAAAATTTAAAGTGTTTTTTAGTGGGCAAAAGTCCCTTCCGCTATATTATGAAACATTTCGATAAAGCCGAAAAAAAACTTTGTAAAGCCTTTTTTAAGAGATTCGAATTTGAAACATTTTCTGAGAAGCTTTAAATTCAATTTTATAAAGAGTTCAAATATATATTTAATGGAACTTTTGAGTTTTCAAATATATTCAAATTTTCCAAATGAATAGTGAGCGTGATTGGATTACATATCTTTTAATATTTCAATAAAATATTACATTTATTTGTGTAATTTAAAAATTCTTTTTTGAACAGTTTATGATGTCTTAATATCTATTGCAAATTAAATGCATAATTTAAACAAATAAACATTGAATAATATCGTAAATTAAAATAAATTATATATATATATATATATATATATA